CCTGCAGCCCGCCCCGCGCCGATCACGCGTAGGAGGCCTCTGTGTGGTGCTCCCCGCCTCCCCTCGCCCATCGCCGCCATCCGCTGCGTCTCTCCGCGCCCACGGGGCCGCCACGCACTCGCGCGTCCTTGGCGAGCCTCTTGCCGGTGGCGGGGGCCGCGCCCCTGCGTGGGGCCGGGCCGGGGCGGCGGGGCCCGCCCGGGGAAGGCCCGTCCCCCCGCCTCCTCCTGCCAGAATTCCTCACAAAAAAAAGAATTACGTGGCCGGCCACCGGCTGTGATCAAAACACCCGAATTCCGGAGGATTGCCGGACCCAGCGAGCCCCCCCTGCCCCGCCGCTGCGCTTCCTGTGGTAATGCCGCAGGTTTTTAGCAAGGCCCGTTCCCCGGCAGGCCCTGGAGCCGCCGCAGCAGCAGCCCAGCCTTCGGCAGAGGTGCAAATAAACAACTAGAAACCCATTTTCTGCTTTAATCATGGAGGCCCTGCGTTAAGATGGGGAGATGTGTTTTTTTCTTCTGCTCTGAAGTGGTTTTATCCAAGTTGAATATGGTAGAAATCAGCTTTCTGGATCTAGCTCTTGTTCTTGAGCTGTTCTTGCCCCACAGCGAGTTTAATGGTGCTTCCCTCTGCATAGCCCAGCATCACCAGCTACTTAATTAGAAAGAAATGTATTTTTAACCACGTGGCTGTACTAGCTGTAAAGCCCAAGGATTGCTTTGGGAACACGTGACATCACCCATGACTTGAATTTACATTTTAGTTTAAAATTATTTCCTTTAGCTCATATGAAATAATACATTGTACCTTAATTTTTAGCTGTTTCAGCGAATACACTTAAAGGTGCATTAAGGAAGGAGAAATTGACATTAACTGCCTCCCTGCTTGTCAGTTTACTTACAATCTTTTTCCTTATTTAAAAGCATCTTGAGGTGGTTGGAGGTTGAGCTCCTTATCTCAGTGTGAGGGACTGCAAGGGGGAAAGATGCGTTCCTTTGGACTTTATTTTCTTGTTGAAATACATGGAGTCAGCATGACTTAAAAAATAATTGAGCAACTGAAACAGAGGTGCTATCTTGTATTGCAGAGCTAAGGAAGAACAGTCTTGCTGTTGGTAGAGTGTGTTAATTGAAAGCATGTTGGCTACCAAGCTGTCCCGGCCTCTCCTCAACTTCCCTGTGAAGGCCCTGAATTTCAAGGACACACGGAATCGCTTCAGGTAAGTAACTTGGTAGAGAAGAAAGAACAAGATCTTGAGTAAAGCATACATTGAGAGCCAATTCGATTTCAGCGGGGCAGTTTATTTACAGAATCATGGGATGGTTGCGGTTGGAAGGGACCTCTAGAGGTCATCTGATCCAACCACCATGCTCAAGCAACGCCTCCTAGAGCTGATTGCCCAGGACCAAGTCCAGATGGCTTTTGAACATCTCCAAGGATGGAGATTCCACAATCTCCCTGGAGAGCTTGTGCCAGGGCTCAGTCATTGAGCAGAGCATAGAGTAGATGGACTCAATATGCCGGGAGGGGGTGGCAATATGGATTTTTTTTATGGTTGGACAGCCGTTCGCAGTCAAAAGGGGATTGACTACAACATCAACTCAGTGTCAAGCAAAGATTTACTCCTGAATATCAGCAAGTAGGCCTTGCTGCAGTGCGAGGAACTGTCATATATTTCTGTGACTTCATTAGAGGGGCAATGAATCACATGAAATGAGAAAGCTGAGAGGGAGAGTTTTAGTGAGAAATGGAGGCGGCCTGAGTAATGAAGGTGCTTTTTTCTGAACATGAACAGAAAATTACCTAATTCTAGTTCTTAGCTTTGAAAATAATACCTTTTATATTGCTATATGATGGGAACCCTACTAGTCCAAATTCAGGGCCAGTGGAGTCCTTTCACTGGCTTTGCTTTAGAGCAGGGTTCCCAAACAATGGTATGTACCACTAATTGTACATTAGCCATTTAAAAGTGGCTCATGGCTTGCTAAGCAAGAGCTGCCACCTCCAGTGTTGTTCTACTGCTGTTGATAGTGGTGTCCAGCACCACCACCGTCAAGAGCAAAGTTGTAGAGAGCAGAGATAGCCAAGCTGCTAGAGATTTCCTGTGCAAACAGAAATAGGCCTTTTATCTTCTCTTTACTCCGCAAACACCAAAGCTGCACCAGCAGGAATCTGCTGTGGCCTTAAAAAAGCAACTTCATGTTTTAATAACTTGAGAAAAGAATTTTCGGCATATTCTTTTGTTTGTTTGTTTCTTCTTCTTTTGGTTTGCTTACTGTGTATTTGTGCTTTGTGCATCTTGTAGTCAGGGCAAAAATGTGTTGAATTTTTTTAAGTACCCACAAGCTGCTACACCTGAAATGGAAACCCAACTGTTCATCTGAAAGACAGTGTTGTCGCTATACCAGTATCTTAATGCACTGAGGTAGCATTTATATACTTGACTCTTCAAGCTGAGGACTGCTGAACAAAAGCGAATGCATGGTTACGAGCACAGATTCAATCTGAGAACCATCTGTGCATTTTAAAACTCTCTGTTGTGGTCTCTAGCATTCAGTCCTGCAGAATGACAAAAATGGCTCATGGTGTATTGGTGGACTGTGTGGGGGCTAACATTGCATATGTGTCATAGCTGGTTCCTCTAATGACATTCCTGCTGATCAGCAGCCAGCATCTATTTTATGCCCTTGCCTTCAGGTCAAGGTAGGCAGAATGTCAAGTAGTTATTCTCTGCAGTTTATTGTGAATAGAGTGCAGCAAATCAGTGCTCTGCAGTGAAATAGCAGGACCAGACACGACACTGAAAAATAAAAATCAAGTTCATGCAACTAAAAGAAATGTTGAGAACGTTTCTGGGCACTTTGAGACACACCAAGGAGCTTCTTGTTGAGATAAAAGTTCCGAGCCGGGACTGCAGGTCAGTGATGTTAACACAGACTTTGCCTGGGGACTGACCTTTGCAGCAATTAAATTGGCTGTAGCTATTTCAAGAGCTGATTTGGCTTGTGACACTCAAAGTTAGAAAAAGAGCTAAACTGTTGCAGGAAGGTGAGTGGACAGCGTTGCCTGAATATAAATCAGCTCCTTTTCCATGTGGTTCAGAGCTTCTGCCCTAGCAGAACTTGTTTCTAGCCTTGTTTTCCTCAGATGCAGCTCAGAGGCCGGTGTGTCTGCAGATTGCTGTTCAGTGTAGCACAGGGCACCCTGGGAGCACCTGAGCAGGAGATGTCTGTCTGAGCAGGAGATAATTTTGAATGATTGTGCAAATTCGCTTAGAAGATAAAAGAGTGGCCTGGAAGATAAGCTTTGCTGAGGGATGGATATTGTTAGAGGGGCCAGAGGGTAGATGAAGTACAGCAAGTCTAGGGGAAGGCCAGAAGGCCCTGGGACAGCCATGCCAGTGCCCAAAGCAACAGTGAAAAAGCTGGTATAGTCCAGAGAGCTGGCTGGCAAGGCCAGAGGCTAGGGTCACTCTGGCCTGTTGTCTAGGCCCAGCTTTGATGAAGATGCCAAGACCTGAGACAGCATGATGCTACTGGGAGCATAGCTTTTTCTAAATAGAATCCCACTCCTTGGAAGGCATTGTTGCCTTGCTCTGGTCTGTCTTTGTGAACATGGTTTATCTTCCTGGGAGTCAGACATACTGTGCAGAGCAGCTTCAGATTTGCATGGCAGGTATTGCTCAGAGACGTGTCTGTTAGCTCTTCTTCTGCAGAGGAAAAAGTGTCATCCAAGGTGACAGAAGGGTGGTCCTGCATGTAAAAGCAGTGAGAGAGATCCAAGCAAATTCAGCCTTAGGCTAGGTATCAGAGACAATGCCACAGCAGAATACTTTCATTAGACAAATTAATAACTTCCCCTACCCCAGCTTCGTGCAACTCTTGAGTGAGAGTGTTGTTGCTGTTGGAAATGAAAACACTGTACTGCCCATTTTGTGGGTGGAAGCAGCTCGGTGCCTCCAGACCAGGCTTGGTAATATCCAGATAGCTTCTGCAGCTGGAAATAGCATCAAGGTCTTTTGAGAAACAAATGTTTCATACTGTAGGAAACACGGAGGCTCAGACTAAGGAGAACTGTAGACTGGATTCTGTCTTCTCAAATGACAGTCCGCATCATGTGTATAGGCAACACTACATTCCTTTTCACGTGTAAGCTGCAGCACCAGGGTACGGGACAAGATATTCTGTGCCTGATTGTTCTGTTGTTGTTGTTTTTTTTTAACAGGCCTGTGCAAAGATTTTGCTTCCCTCTCTTGTCCCCGTGTGGCAGCCGCTCTTATGCAAGTGACGTTGATCAGGTGAGCGTGATTGTGGTTTCCAGGAACTAGTTCTGCTGAGCTGGGGTTTTAAAATCCCTGAAGCCTGGTGACCAAATTCTTCTTTCTGATCTGCCAGAAAGACTCCGAGCTGGACCTCTCCAACATACTCCACATTCTTTCCTAGCACAGAGCTTCCATTGACGTAGCACGGTACATGCTGCTAGGGATGGAAATAAACAATCAGACTAGTGGTTTTTTTCTATTTTTGGAACTCACTCAGCAGATGAAATCTTTCACCTTAGAGTGGAGGGAATTTGCATGACAAATTCTTGATAAAACACACTTTCTGGAGCGTGATTGTGTAAAGAGACATAAATAAATCGGTGTGTCCTCACCTCTTGATCTGGAGAGTGGCCACCTTCTTTAACAGCCCTCTCCTTGAAGGGAGCTTGATTGCCAGGAACAGTGCCAGGTAGAAAGAAGGGGGATGTTTTGCCCTCTTGCCTGTCTTGTGGTACAGAACTCAGCACTGTAGCAGTGCTAGAGCATACATATTTTGCTCCATAGCCCTGGGACAGAGTCTCAGAGGAATTCAGATATGGTCCTGCATCACTACTGGGCTTCCAGTGTGACTCTGATCAGTCCCTGTATATGCTAGGGAAAGCCAAAATTCTCATTTTTTAAAAGAGAGGAGTTGAAATGAATTGCAAGTAATTATTATCTAATCCCACCCACAGCTGCACCTTGCTGCACATGCACTTGTTGCTTCTGAATGTCTGATACACTATGCGATTTTTAACATGTCACTTAGCTGCTGCCTCTCCTCGGGTTAGAAGAAGGAAGGAGGTATACTTCTATTTAAATTTTAAGTTGGAAAAATAAGAAGACCAAAAACCAAGCAAACAAAAAGACTGATGACCAACTGGTCTTAATTTCAAATATTAAACCCACTTGATTCTGCTTAGCTTTTAAAACCCAGCACCGGAGGGTTTATGTGCCAGAGAGAGAAAGATGAGTCAGTAAAGTTCACCCATATCTTTTCTTCAGTCAAGCCTTCTTCCCCATGCCCTGTGGGCTGCATGGCACAGAAGAATGGACTCCTGCCTGCTTTGAACATATAGGAACAGTTCCTACTGCAGGGAAAACATGTCTTGGGAACTGTCTGGTATATTTTCAGATTTCAACATGAATGTGAACTGCCAGAGAATGGTGGTTTTCTTGGTCTCTTAAGAGCCTGTTGCCAGAGGTGCCGAGCTTCTCTTTGTGTTGGGAGGACAGTGATCCTGCCTCACTGGAGTGAACTTGATATGAAACCTTTGTTTCTTGTCTTCAGGAGGCACTGGGTGGCAGTAGCTGGCAATGAGTGTAGAGAACATCCCTGGAACAGTCTGCTCCTGGCCAAGGACATGGTTTTGTTCTGTTCACTGCAAGTCACTGATTTCAAATACTCGGTTCCAGTGTGTTCTGTTTTGTTTTGCAGATTGGCAGCAGAGCTGTGCTTATAACAGGTTGTGACTCAGGATTTGGATTTGCCTTGGCCAAACACCTGCATGCCAAAGGCTTCATTATTTATGCTGGCTGCCTGCAAAAGGTAGGGAAAACAAAAACTGTATTCTTCTCCTATGGCACGTGCAGAGACACTTATCAAATCCGATCTTCTTTCTGCAGAGCTTTCTGTCAAGGAGAGGGAGGGTGGTCCCAAAGGGAAAGACATGGGTGCTTGAATTCCATAGAGCATAACCTGGTCTAGACCAGAACTGGGACTGAATGGTATCTGGGGAGGTTTTTATTTGAATCACCACATTGTCATCTGTTCCATATCTGATGGACCGGAAAGCCAAATCTAATTTTATCTGTTTATCCACAAGCAAATTTGGGGATCAGGTGGAGTCTGGTTCCTTTGGCCCTGCTCTCAGATTATACATATTTATGCAGGGTTTATTTTGATTAATTATGACATACACCAAGCCACCAGTGATTTTATGGCATGTGGCATGAGCATGTTTTTCTGTATTCATGAGTACAGCCATGCCTTAGTGTGTAATGAGGGTCTCCTGAAATTGCTGCGAAGGCGATAGAATTCTACTAGTGCAAACGGGAGCAGAATCAGGCCACAAATAGCTTAGCAACAGTCTTGATACACTCTGCAGGAGCACTCTGTATGGCCAGAGATGCCTGGTCATGGAGAACAGGAGAGAGCTTTAGCCTCTCTCTCCTTGTGAAGCACTGCACTGTTCAGCTGCATGGCCGTTTCCCAACAGAAACAAACTTAGTCCTCAAGATATCCTGGGGTGGGTCAGTTATTTTGATCCTAGTCTTTTAGCTCACAACTATAAATGTAACTTGAATATTTATATTATCTAAAGAGAATTTGCTGGGTGTTTTCTAATGTTATCAATACTTTTTCTGCTGTTATTTTTTTCCATTATTACTAAGTTTTGTTTAAATTACTGCTTTCTTCCTGCGTCATTTTTTCAGAAGAGAAGTTTGTGTTCCGATAGCTCTGTCCTTTGTGGTGTCTCAGCTTTGGGTCAAGGGTTTTTGTTAACCTGGGCTCCCTCTACAGGCTTCACAGCAGAACAAGTCACCTCTTATATACTGCTGCTTTTCAAAAGGTGTCGAGAGGGGGTAGAGGGGTACATTTTTGGCAGCTGTTACCACTCAGCTTTTGTAACTGAAGATCAACTTTAGAGAATATAAGAACATTGCAGACTTAAAAACCACTGTTTAGAATAATAGTCTGCCTCTATGTTGACAGCAGCCAAAAAATTTGAAAGCTGCAAAATTACTTCTGGGTTTCACTTCCTCTGTGTGAGCTGCCAGAAAGACACAATTTTCAGTGCGGATGTCTGTAACTGTCAATGAAACTTCCCTTCCATTTTGGTGTCTTCAGTACTCATTCTGCTGAATGCATGTTAGTGGAAAATCTTGGCCTCTGGCAATTTTGCAGCATGCCAGAACGGTTTTAGGCTTTGATCAATATTTAATTCCTTGCCAAAAATCTGCAGAAAGCTTTGCTGTATCGCTGTGTAATTAAATATTGCTTCTTTAGCTGGACTCACATGCCACGTTCCAAAATCTTTTGCTATGGCAAGACTGGTAACAGCAGTTGTCATCAGAAAAATACTGTAAAATGCCAAAGCTCCTAAGTTAACAGGTTAGCCCCTTTTTTTTTGTCTTCAGGCCATATACTTTATGCAGAACTGCTCTGTAGAACTAAAACAAGTTCAGGAGACTGAGCTGATTTCTCCTGGTGCCACAGGTTTCACTTGCAACATCATAAGCAGAATTCTGATCAGTGTAATTATTGCTGGTGCTGATTTTAGGGGCAGAAAAGCCTGGTGTGGTTTTAGATACTAGATAGAAATAAGAAGCATCATCTTTTGCTTGGGTATATTTAACCTAGCTCTGATAGAGAGGAAATGACTATGAAACTTCAGTGTTATTTTCATGGGACTGTTTTTCACAGCACACCTGCACCTCAGAAACATACACCAGCCTGGGGGGAGCCATCGTGTCCTCAGGGTATGCATTGTTCTTAGGAACGTCACATCTTTATTGCAGATTAAAAGTGTGTGCAGTGCTGACTATTCATTGGGAAAGGGTTCCTAGAGTGGCCAGATTCTGAGCACCTGACTGTGTTTTTACTGAAGGAGACCTGAGGGAGGTGTTCAGAGCCATGACTGAGAGGACTCCAAGGATGAACCTGTGCTAACAGTATGCTATTTCACACACAGTTTCTTTTTAACGTTTTCACTGGCAAAAATATTCATCTGAGAGTTGTGTTGATGCTTTATTGCCAAAAGACAGTGGTAGACTGGATCCTGTGAAAGATCATGTTGCAGCTGTCTTATTTTTTCCTCTTTGGTTAATAGCTGGAGGAGCCAGCTGACACAAGATGAAGAAGGTATTTTTCCATCAGCATCTGTTACCAGTGAACATATGTGATGTTTGTCACGGCTGTCAGGAGTGTGGTGGAACCCCTGTTGCTTTGCTTTGTGTGCTCAGGCCTGGTGGGGCTTGCAGGGGGATGAGAAGGCAGAGGCTCTCTGAGCAAGCCAGCATGCAGGCCTCTTACTGTATGTAGGGCTCAACAAGAGTGCTCAGAGCTATAGGGTGTTTAAACACTGCTTCAAGGACACACTGATAAAGATACAAGCTGAAGTTCATGGGCCCCAGAGGACGACCATGGAAAGAGGAAGACGAGGCAGCAGTGTGCTTTTTCAGTATGCAAGAGCTGGTCCCTCTTGCCATGGGGACAGCGGACCCTGGGGCTGACAGCAGAGACGTGCTGGTCTCTTGGCACAGCATGAGAAGGACCTTCCAGTGCTGCGTGTGGGCCCAGCGGTTGTGGGATGGGCTGCATCTCATGCCAAGAGAGCATGATACAATCACAGGGTGCCTGGCTTTAACACCACCCATCTGCTTTTTCTGAAGAGCTAAGGGAAGGGCCCTGTGGATGTGGGTTAGTGCCTAGAGTCCCAACTTTTGGCCAGGTTGTCTCTTTGCTGAGACAACCCTGTAAGGGACGAAGAAGAGGACACTGTGAAGGTCCTAGTAGAGCTTATGAGGCCTCTGAATCTGGTGTGTTGCTGTGACCCAGATGTTTTGTAGCATCTCACAGACCTGAGATTGGAGAACGAGAGACCTGGACCTTATTGTTCTTCCTCTTCCCTTTAGCCATATCTGCTGTTTCCCAGAGACTTGCATGCTTGCATTTGCTAATTCCCTGCTGGCGTTCCCACATGTGCCACTTGTGTGCTTCTCAGTGCTTTGTCCTATGCACTGGCTTGGGCACCATAGTCCGTTTGAGTGAGCAGCAAACGTAGCACAAAACTCTGTTTTCAGTCCCCATGATAACAAACACCACTAAGCTGTGCATGGGACTCTTAACTGCTTCGTTTTGTATGCAATATGCTTCCGTGTGACCAGGGTGCAGTAGATGCCTTCTCTTAAGGGCAAACACTAACCGGTATTAACAGTCTGCGATGGAGTGAGGAAGGGTTGAGAAGAAGGCAGAGGAGATGTCAGGTACTTAATTTAGTGAACTGTCTGTGAGCACAGTGGATAAGCCCAAGAATGAGAGGAGCCAGAAGAAAGTTTTTTAGAAGATGAGTGGCACAGAAACAGGGGGATGTATGACCCCCCTTGTGTGGTATCTAAAGCGTGATGTCTGAAGGGAGCTCCTGCTCAGGGGAGCAAATGTGCAGCCTGGGTTCAGGCTGCAGAGATGAGGACCAACTCATTGACAACTGACTGCTGGCAGTCTCTGACAGGGAGCGCCTGTGGCTCTAGGTGTTCAGAACAATCTAATGTCATTCAGCAGTCAGGAAATAGCCCTGCTATGAAGAACTGGCCTGTTCTAGGTCAGAGAAAAAAAGCTATCTAAAAAAGCCTCATCTATCAGGAGTGAAGAGCATTCTGAAGCCTGCCTGCTGATGCTGACACAGCAAGCGGAGCTACCTGGAGGGTTGAGCAGTGGGGAAAGAAGAGATAGTATGGGACACACTCCATGTCTAGCCTGTTAAAAGTAAAAGACTTCCAGTGAAGGATGATATTGAGAGGACAGAGGGAGTTTCTTACAGTAAAGACAAGGATGTTCCCCAAAAGTGATTATTTTCAGAGCTAGACCTCACCATCCCCTACAAAAGTTCCCTGGAATGGCCAGCACAGTCCAGCAGCTTATAACCATGGGAGTGATTCAGGAACAGTCTCAAACTCGTATTAATATGCCATGTGTGTGCTGGAAGAACCATGGCCAGGCTTCACTGCCGTGAAGGGACTAGCCCTGGGCACGGCAGCCTTGGTTGCTGGCAGTGTCTGGCCCATGGGAAAGGCATCTTGGGGGCTGGCTGCAGTGAATTGGCTGGGCTGTGAGTCCAGTGTGGGCTGTGAGTCCAGTGTGTCTGTACTGGGGGAATCTGTTGTTCTGAGCTAAGAAAAAAGGGGGTATGTCTGTACTGGGGGAATCTGTTGTTCTGAGCTAAGAAAAAAGGAGTGGAGATGGGAAATAGGAATGAAAAAAAGCTCAGAGGGGGAGGCAGAGAAGAGAGCAAGATGTTGGAAAAGATGCTGGGGAGAATTGCTAGCAGGCAAGCTGGACAGGCACTTGGTGGAGGACTCTGGAGGAGTCCATGGGAGGCAGTAGGTACATTTCCCAGCAGTGGGAGCTGTGTCCGTGGATCAACTGAAGGGAGAGAGCAGTGGGCAGGCAGTCCCTCTTCTAGGACTATTGCTCTCAGAGCTGGCAAGGTGACTGAGAAGCATGTGCAATGTACGTGTGCAGCCACTCATTGCCTGTTTTATACCATTTCCCTGCCGTGCTATTTGTTGTGCCCCATATGCAAGCCACAGTGAGGCTGGCACCACACTCCCACCACTGCGGCAGTGGGATATAGCTTGAACTCAGGAGCTTGTACTGGGCAGGAGTTGCCTTGCTGGGGCAGGTCCAGCTCTGGCTGCTTTCTTGGCGGTCGAAGCAGTTGGTACCCGCTGACTTGGTGGCAGGGCTCCTGGTCAGATGGAGATGCTCGAGGAATGGTGTTCTGCAGGAGCAGCCCTGTCTGTTCCCCTTCCTCTTAGAGCTGCAGGACTGTCCTGATTATTCCGTGACTGCCCTGTACACTCTCTTCTGCTTGATTTGATGGTTGTTATGCATTTGATATTCACAAGCCTTTTGGCCAGATTCAAACCAGCACTTTCTTCCCCTCTAGGACAAGGGAGAGGGTGGCTCCAAGGATCTGGACAACATGAAGAGTGATCGAATGAGAACAGTCCAGCTCAATGTCTGTGACAGCAAAGAAGTGGACCGAGCCGTGGAGCACGTCAGCAGCAGCCTGGAGGACCCAGAGAAAGGTACTTAGGTGCAATGGGCTCTAAGGTCACATAGGTGGCAGGAGCTCCCTCAGCTGGGCTCTGAGAGCTTTTTCAGGGCGTATTTCAAAAGCTGAGCACATGATTGAAGGGCACAGAGCTTCGAGGAGCAGCAGTGCAGAGCAAATGGCCTGTTTAAATGTTGTGCCATATCAGAAAGCAGCTTGCTACTTAGGATGGCATCTACAAAGAAAACTGCTTTTTTCTCCACTAGCTCCTATAGGGACATTAGCAGAAATCAGGGTGGTGGTCAAGGCCCTGGGATTAGCGCTTTATTCTTGTGAGCTGAAGTTTTTTCCCCTAAAGAACATACACACTTCAACACATAAAGGTTGTTTAAAAGCAAAACAACCAGTAATGTTTTATTTGGGATTTTGCATAAACCCATTTCGTCTACTTTTCTTTATTTTTTATGTATGGATCTTCTGTGTAAATGAAGTTTTCTAGCCGTGTATTCTCAGGCTTAGGCCAGGATGAAGTTGCCTTTTCTGGCTGTTTCTGAGAACACGGATCTGGACACAGTCAGTCAACAGATAACAGTGAGTTTTTCTGGACCACAGAGAGAAGCTATCCCAGACCTTTATCAGTCTGTTTCCTGTGCAATTAGGATATTACATGAAATGAGTTCATTTTATTCCTAATTCCTTTTTAGTCTTTCTTTTCACTGCCAAATGAGTTGGTCGCTTCAGTTGTTGCCATCTTGATTGCAGCAGAATAAAAGGCAGAGGCCGTGGCATGTGTGCCCACCCATGTCCACCCACACCTACATCCCCCTACCCAGCATTGTAGTCATTCTAGTTTTTATGGTGACACAAGAGATTTTACTTGGAAAGAATTACTCTTTTGTTTCTTACAAGGTCTTTCCTACTATTATTTGCATTTAGTGACTATATTATATTTTGCTTCTTTTAAAAAAATTATGACGGATAAAAAGAGAATGGCAAGGAGAACAGCTTAGACAAGGCTGAAGTTAGTTCTCTGCGGACTTAGAACTTCCTGGGAAGCCTCATTCATGGTACTTCGTGGTGTGGCTGCCTTCTTGGGCAGTCCAGGCAGATTTGACTCTGGTTATATTTGCTCAGGAGGCTGAAGTTCACTCTGGACTCTCTTCTGTCGGGCGTCCATCATTACAAGTCATAACGAAAAGCTCTGTTGTGTGGTTCAGTAATTTATTAGCAGGACCTTTTCCATGCTGCTCTCATTAGTCTCACAGAGGGAAAGCTTTCTGCTTGATTTTTGTCTTCTAGGGCTCTGGGGCCTGGTTAACAATGCTGGGATCTCCACATTCGGGGAAGTCGAGTTCACCAGCATGGACACCTACATGGAGGTAGCTGAAGTGAACCTGTGGGGGACTGTGCGGACCACCAAAGCTTTCCTCCCACTCATCCGGAGGTCAAAGGGTGAGTGATCACCTTCTGAGGGGCACTCTCTGGAGCAAGTCCCTCATCCTGCCCCATGTTTTGCTGTGTTAGAGGCCAAAAGGTCTACTACACTTCTCTCTGTACCACTGGCCACCTTCATACCTTTACAGAGAGAGTGTGACCCACAGCATACACACAAGTGACAGATTTCCTGACTGCTCTGAGATACACAGCAAAGCAGCAGTCCTGAAAACCATCTGTGCTGCCTTCTCCTGCAACATCCCACGCAAGATCTAATCCGTCATACCTTCTTTTACCTGCTCAGAAGCTGCAGCTCACCCTAAATTCCCACGCCAGGAGCAATCCTCCCCTCTGTACAAAAAGCAGCCGTGCCGGTGCTGCAGGGTGGGCAGCAGCAGTGTGCTGTCACGTGCTTCTTGCAGGGAACTTGGCAGCTGGGCTCTGTGTTACTTTGGGACCTCTGAATGAATGAGAGGTGGGATTTGTCCAGCGAAGGAATGCAGAGCTGGAGCTTGTGTGGGTGCCAGCGTAAAGGGGCAAAAGCTTTCCTGTGTTAGTGCCAACTACCTGACTAAGTGAGAATAATTTTTACTCTTGAGGCATCTGCAGACGTTAACAATGTTGTCCTGTGCTGCAGACCTCGGCTGGATGTGGCCCAGGCAGCATTTCTTCCACATGAAAGGGTATCCACTTTTGTGGTCAGAGTTTCTAACACAACTCGGCAATGAGCTCTGATAAAAAGTGCAGAGAACTGCAACCTCTGATTAGTCTGCAGCATCCAGTGTCCTACCTGCATTCTCCCAGCTGAAATGGATGGCTTCTGGAGAGGAGAAAGTCCCCGGTTCTGTGCCTGGAGCCATAATCCAGCCGTCACACAGAAAAGGGTGCAGTGGACTTAGGCTGCTCTGCCCATTTGTGGTGCAGGAGCAATCTATTCCCTTTTAAGAGGCAGGTATTATAAGCCACCATTGGGCTTCCGGATTTTGTGCCTTTGACTTGCAAATAAACAAGCTCAGCCTTGGTGCTAGAGGGTTGCTTTGCTGCTGCCTCCTTATGTCTGGGCTCAGCTCGGATTGCTGCTGAGCAATCCTATTCCCACCGTGTGGGCTCTGTCCAGCCTCTGCTGTGTTCCCCATAGCACTGAGCTTTGTGTGTCACCGTGTGCCTGTTCCCTCAGCTATTATGAGCCAGGGAGCACAAGCAATGAGCTTGTTCTCCTGCCTGAAGGCCATTCCATAGGACAGCAAAGCTCGGACAGAGCCACGAGCAGCAGTGCAGCAGAGCCCGGCAGCCCTTACGGATGTGCAGCGAGAGGGTGGGTGCACGTTTGGGAATCTGTTGGGTGGTGTCTGTCAGGTATCTGCTCTGGATCAGGTCCCACGGCTCAGCTGTGCTTTGCCTGGCCTTTGCCTAGGTCGTGTGGTGAACATCAGCAGCATGATGGGTCGGATGGGCAGTCCCGCCCGGTCGCCGTACTGTATCACCAAGTTTGGCGTGGAAGCCTTCTCCGACTGCCTGCGGTACGAAATGCAGCCCCAGGGGGTGATGGTCAGCATCGTGGAGCCTGGCAACTTCATAGCTGCCACCAACCTGTACAGCCCCGAGCGAATCAAAGCCATAGCCGACAAAATGTGGGACGAGCTCCCGGAGATCGTGCGCAAAGACTATGGCAGGAAGTACTTCGATGAGCAGGTCAGCAAGATGGAGACGTACTGCAACAGTGGCTCGACAGACACCTCGCCCGTCATCGAAAGCGTGGCCCACGCGCTCACCTCCACGACCCCCTACACGCGCTACCACCCCATGGATTACTACTGGTGGCTGCGCATGCAGATCATGACCCACATGCCTGCTGCCATTTCAGATCGGCTCTATGTCTACTGAGGCCTCGCACTCTTAGGCTGCCCAGGTGGGAAATTTGTTTCAAAGAGAGCATTGTACACACTTCCCATTAGTCATTTTTAAATTTTTCTAACCTCATTCCAGAGTACTGTATTTTAGCTCTAAAGGGTTCATTTAAACATCTGATATAACCTCAAGGGCAGTAACAGTAATAAAGGGCTGAAACATTCATCTTGAGCCATGTCAGCCCCTTATACAGAATCACAGAATCATAGAATCATTTAGGTTGGAAAAGACCCTTGGGATCATCGAGTCCAACCGTCAACCCTACTCTACAAAGTTCTCCCCTACACCATATCCCCCAACACCACATCTAAACGACTCTTAAACGCGTCCAGGTATGGTGACTCAACCACCTTCCTGGGCAGCCTATTCCAATGCCCGACCACTCTTTCTGTGAAAAATTCTTTCTTAATGTTCAGTCTAAACCTATCCTGTTGGAGCTTGAAGCCATTCCCTCTCGTTCTGTCACTAATTACCTGCTAGAAGAGACCAGCACCAACCTCTCTACAATGTCCTTTCAAGTAGTTGTAGAGAGTGATGAGGTCTCCCCTCAACCTCCTCTTCCTCAAACTAAACAGTCTCAGCTCCTTCCACCGCTCTTCATAAGATTGATGCTCCAGGCCCTTCACCAGCTTCGTTGCCCTCCTCTGCACTCGCTCCAGCACCTTGAGATCTCTCTTGTATTGAGGTGCCCAGAACTGGACACAATACTCCAGGTGTGGCCTCACCAGTGCTGTGTATGCGGGGACAATCACCTCCCTACTTCTGCTGGTCACACTATTTCTAATACAAGCCAGGGTGCCATTGGCTTTCTTGGCCACCTGGGCACACTGCTGGCTCGTATTCAGCCACTTGCCAATTAGAACCCCCAAGCCCTTTTCTGCCAGGCAGCTTTCCAGCCACACTTCCCCAAGCCTGTAGCGGTGCATTGGGGTTGTTGTGGCCCAAGTGCAGGACCTGGCACTTGCCCTTGCTGAAGCTCATACCATTAAGGTTGGCCCAATGATCCAATCTATCTAAGTCTCTCTGTAGAGCTTCCCTATCCTCATGTGAATCAACACCCCTGCTTAACTTGGTGTCATCTGCCAACTTGCTGATGATACACCCTATGTCCTTGTCAAGATCGTCAATAAAAATGTTAAACAGAAATGGTCCTAACACTGAGCCCTGAGGCACACCACTTGTGATTTAAATATACCTATATCTAACCTGGCAACAGACCTTTATGCCTTCTTTCGGATCTTCCCAGACACTGATTTGAGATGACCGATCTCTTGATGGCCACAGCAGGTCTGGAATATCCTCATTGTAGATCTGAAAGCATCAGAGGAGCAGTTCAGACTTAGCAGCCTTGCAAGAGAAGCCACATCGAGGAAGATGGGCAGTTATGCTAAATCATGGCTAACTTGGCATGAATTGCTTTTAACTTTAGAGAAAGACACCTAGGACTCAGAATCCAGTTCCTGACAAGACCTTATGTAGTCTTGATTATGCGGTTTGATTAAGTAAATACATATTATAAGTCTTATGAGGAGAGGCTGAGGGAGCTGGGGGTGTTCAGCCCGGAGAAAAGGAGACTGAGGGGAGACCTCCTCCCTCTCTACAACGGCCTGAAAGGATGGTGTAGAGAGGGAGCTGGTCTCTTCTCCCAAGTCACAGGGCAAGAGGAAATGGCCTCCAGTTGCACCAGGGGAGGTTCAGATTGGGTATTAGGAAAAATTGTGACACTGAAAAGGTTATTGCACGTTGGAATGGGCTGCCCAGGGAAGTGGCCGAGGCACCATCCCCTGGAAGTATTTAAAAGACGGGTTGACAGTGCTTAGAGACACAGTTTAGTGATGGGGTTTTTTGTCAGGTTGATGGTTGGACTAGATGATCTTAAAGGTCCCTTCCAACCCAGACAATTCTATGATTCTATTTGTAAGGGGTGCTTCTTAGGCAGGAATGCGTTACGTTTGTGCAGGGACATTGATTCTTTGCTATTTATTTCATGTAATCCTTTTTTTTTTCACCTCAAATGTTAAAATTGTTATTTAAACTGCAATTGTTCTGAAGTGTTTTCAGAATAATTTCTGCTGATGGCCGAACACAATCTTCACAATTCCTGCCTGGGATGCAGCCTTCACACCGTAAAACAGAGTCCCTCCATGCTGTAACGGCAAACCACTGCCTCCTGACGACAGACAGTGTCCAACAGACTTCTCCAGGCCTGGTCATGGTAGCACAGGGCAGAGCAGAGACTTCTTTAGTTTGGGGATCAGAACTCCAAATGCTCAAGGTGCTGAAACCGAGCGACTGATCCTGTCCCTTTCTCTTTGGGAATTATACTGATGAAACCTTAGAGAAAAAGAACCAGTCTCCTTTTCTTGCATGTTTTCTTGCAAAGGAGTTCAATGATCCAGGGATTCAGTCCCACAGACCTTTCCCTCAGAAGTTTCTTACTCACATGAGCATTCCCGGGAGCACCAGCAGCTTTACACACAGCACTGCAGGCAGCAGGATTGGCCCGTAGTAACACTTGTTTTCTCTTCAACAGTAATTGTACATCAGCTCCAGACTTAGTTTGGGGGAAGAATTCACTCCAGCTCCTGTAATTTGTGAGGATCACCTCTGAACAGAGGGAAGCAGGAGGGTTATAGTCACATCAGTGAATGCCGTTCTTACCAGGGACCTCAGTTACACCGAAGTATTTGTACAGCACCTTGCACAGAAGGGCCCTCACTAGGGCCTCTGGGCGCTGTTACAGTGCAGGTGATGATAACAATAACAACTCGCATCGAAGGAGTCACTGAGCTGAAATACATCTAACATGACAGAAATCCAACAGAACGTCCATAACAGTCAAGTTAACTTTAAGAGCAGTTCCATTTCCATGAAGGTTGTTTACATGTCTGAGAAATGTTTGTTTTGTACTGTAAGAAAAAAAAAGAAAAGAAAAAAAAACATAATAGAGTCTTTCATGATGGATGCAGAAGGAGTTAAATTTTTTTAACCTTGAAAGGGGTAAAAAATAATAATTAAAATAACCGTCATTAGTGAAGTTAAAAAGAAGGGATCTCATGTGCTCTAGTAACATACCGTGACATGATCAAACTCCTTTGGCTTAATAAATGTATACATGAATTATAACAAAATTCGGAGGCTCCCACTCTTTATTTTTTAAATATTGAAGATGAAAAGTTCATATTCTGTAGTGGTGGGTTTAGCCCTGAGGCACACCACTTGTGATTTAAATATACCTATATCTAACCTGGCAACAGACCTTTATGCCTTCTTTCGGATCTTCCCAGACACTGATTTGAGATGACCGATCTCTTGATGGCCACAGCAGGTCTGGAATATCCTCATTGTAGATCTGAAAGCATCAGAGGAGCAGTTCAGACTTAGCAGCCTTGCAAGAGAAGCCACATCGAGGAAGATGGGCAGTTATGCTAAATCATGGCTAACTTGGCCGTGGATACGTGCTGCCTTCAGAGGCTGAGTTGCAGTCTTGGGTTTTACATGTCCATGTTGGATCGTGCAAGACTTCTACACAAGTACCAGATGTATCCTGCATCTCGTGACAAATAGACTTAACCCCAACCCCTGGGCTCTGTGTATTCACAGCTCTTAAACCTGCATCTGTCCCGGAATCCCACAGAGGCCTGAAAGGATGGTGTAGAGAGGGAGCTGGTCTCTTCTCCCAAGTCACAGGGCAAGAGGAAATGGCCTCCAGTTGCACCAGGGGAGGTTCAGATTGGGTATTAGGAAAAATTGTGACACTGAAAAGGTTATTGCACGTTGGAATGGGCTGCCCAGGGAAGTGGCCGAGGCACCATCCCCTGGAAGTATTTAAAAGACGGGTTGACAGTGCTTAGAGACACAGTTTAGTGATGGGGTTTTTTGTCAGGTTGATGGTTGGACTAGATGATCTTAAAGGTCCCTTCCAACCCAGACAATTCTATGATTCTATTTGTAAGGGGTGCTTCTTAGGCAGGAATGCGTTACGTTTGTGCAGGGACATTGATTCTTTGCTATTTATTTCATGTAATCCTTTTTTTTTTCACCTCAAATGTTAAAATTGTTATTTAAACTGCAATTGTTCTGAAGTGTTTTCAGAATAATTTCTGCTGATGTCCGAACACAATCTTCACAATTCCTGCCTGGGATGCAGCCTTCACACCGTAAAACAGAGTCCCTCCATGCTGTAACGGCAAACCACTGCCTCCTGACGACAGACAGTGTCCAACAGACTTCTCCAGGCCTGGTCATGGTAGCACAGGGCAGAGCAGAGACTTCTTTAGTTTGGGGATCAGAACTCCAAATGCTCAAGGTGCTGAAACCGAGCGACTGATCCTGTCCCTTTCTCTTTGGGAATTATACTGATGAAACCTTAGAGAAAAAGAACCAGTCTCCTTTTCTTGCATGTTTTCTTGCAAAGGAGTTCAATGATCCAGGGATTCAGTCCCACAGACCTTTCCCTCAGAAGTTTCTTACTCACATGAGCATTCCCGGGAGCACCAGCAGCTTTACACACAGCACTGCAGGCAGCAGGATTGGCCCGTAGTAACACTTGTTTTCTCTTCAACAGTAATTGTACATCAGCTCCAGACTTAGTTTGGGGGAAGAATTCACTCCAGCTCCTGTAATTTGTGAGGATCACCTCTGAACAGAGGGAAGCAGGAGGGTTATAGTCACATCAGTGAATGCCGTTCTTACCAGGGACCTCAGTTACACCGAAGTATTTGTACAGCACCTTGCACAGAAGGGCCCTCACTAGGGCCTCTGGGCGCTGTTACAGTGCAGGTGATGATAACAATAACAACTCGCATCGAAGGAGTCACTGAGCTGAAATACATCTAACATGACAGAAATCCAACAGAACGTCCATAACAGTCAAGTTAACTTTAAGAGCAGTTCCATTTCCATGAAGGTTGTTTACATGTCTGAGAAATGTTTGTTTTGTACTGTAAGAAAAAAAAAGAAAAGAAAAAAAAACATAATAGAGTCTTTCATGATGGATGCAGAAGGAGTTAAATTTTTTTAACCTTGAAAGGGGTAAAAAATAATAATTAAAATAACCGTCATTAGTGAAGTTAAAAAGAAGGGATCTCATGTGCTCTAGTAACATACCGTGACATGATCAAACTCCTTTGGCTTAATAAATGTATACATGAATTATAACAAAA